CCAGCGAGTCTTAGCGCTTCCGCACGACCACAGAGCTCCTCCATCGCGTGAAAGGCGTGCTCTGCCCGCCTCCACCCTCTCAGCCCCCAGGTGCAGCCCTCAATGCAACGGGGGCTGAACATGCTTCGTGGACTCGGCAGGTCCTGGTGGCTCAGGACGGCGCAAAAGAAGTGTCTCCAAGCAAAATCGACCCAGTTTTCAAGGGAAGACAGAAGTCAACCTTGGAAACCTCCAAACACAGATGAAAACAGGATTTGGTTTAGCATTGAAGGACCGTACTAAGAAGTACTCTGACAAGCGAATGTTGTGGAAATGAAGTGGAGAAGATAACTGAAGAACTACGATGCAAAACAATGAGCTTGGCACAGGAAATGGAAATGGTAAGGCAGCAGGAGTGGCTATAATTGAGGTATTTTTACCTCCATGAAAAGATAGAAGAACCTCTTGGAAAACCAACTACACATCACCAGCAGAAACCTGAGGTCTGAAATGGCCAAAACCTTTGCATTTCAGAAAATTCGGTCAAAATCGTCACACACAGCGGGGCCTTGACTTAGGAGTTTAATTCGTTCTGTCACGGAGCTCGTCACTCAGATTACTCGTATGTCAGATCATAAAGTGGACGAGTGAGACACGTGGTGCCGGGCTGACGTGGCGTTCACTGTGACGTTCGCTGCGCCAGCTCGCGGTGGGGTATCTGAAGCCGGCTTGTAACCCGAATTTTAGCTCGCAACTCAAAGCAAAAAATCAGCCGAGAGACGGCTCATATCTCAAAAAACTAATTAGTCAGGACACTCGTAAGTCAAGGCCCCACTGTATAAGAAACAACTTCAACTACGTATGTTATGGAAAAGTGTGCAGAATTTTAAAATAGAGTTAATCCTATATAATAAAAGGGTAATATGCAAATTGACCTAATGGTGGAAAGACCAGTCGCTATGACACGCACTGGCCACCAGGGGGCAGACACTCAATGCAGGAGCTGCCCCTGGTGATCAGTGTGCTTCCAGCCAGAAGCCGGGCATGTCTGGGAGTCAAGACAAGTTTGCCAAGTTTCAGACCAGGCTCATTGGACCTGGATGTGGAGGGTGGTCAGCTGGTCTGGGTTCTTGGCTGACCGTTCTGGCGAGTGACCCCTGTCACCTGCCCAGCGATGGTCCCCAGCCAAGCTGGCCGTGCCCTTACCTGGGGGCAGATGAGCTGAGCGAAAGCAGATGGAGCCCACAACACCCGTGGCAGCCGCTGGGGTCACAGAGCGGGGGGTGTGATGGAGGCAGTGGCCAGGCTGTCCTGTTGCCTCGGCGGCTGATGTCCTTTCTGCCTCGAGACTGTGGCCGGCCCCATCGAGGGCAAGCACAGGGCCAGGTGCAGGAGCTGAGGAGCCACCAGGTGCAGCTGGAGTGGCCCTGGAGGCAGCAGGTGTCCCTGGGACAGGACAGGGACTCAGCTCCAGCAGCTGCCAGGTGTGGGGGGGTGCACACTCCCAGTTCCTGCTCATGGGGCCCTGAGACCCTGTGAGCAAGGCTGAGGCAAAAGTGCCTTTTTGTGACTTTGGTCTGGGAGCCACATGCCATTTGCACAGCACAGGTCAGCCCTGCTGTGAAGGAGGGACCTCATGGGCCTGGGAGACAGAGGTGGAGTGGGGGCCATCATGGGGGCAGATGGCCACACTGGGGAGGCGGGGGGGAGTGAGCAGCACCTGGTGGTGTGGGGTCCCCTCCCCACTGTATCTCAGTCCCAGCTTCTCACCCAGCGACGCCAGGATCTGCCCTCCCATCCCCATCTCGGATGCCACAGAACATGGACAGTTCATGGTGTTTTCTCTGGGGTTGGGGGTGGGGCCTGCACAGGGAAAGAAAACAAAACTGAAGACACACACCTTCCTTCCTTAAAAAGCATGAAAAAGAGAAAAGAATAATGGATACTTATCATTGAAATCACCTAGTTCATGTAGACTCTCTTCACAAGCCTGGTCATGGCAAGGGAAGGGCCATTAAAAAAAATTTTTTTTTATTGATTTCAGAGAGGGAGAGAGAGAGAGAAACATCATTTATGAGAGAGAATCATTGATTGGCCGCCTCCTGCATGCCTCCTACTGGGGATTGAGCCTGCAACCCAGGCAGGTGCCCTTGACTGGAATCGAACCTGGGACCCTTCTGTCCGCAGGCCGATGCTCTATCCACTGAGCCAAACTAGGTAGGGCGGGTCATTTTTTAAAAATGTATTTTTATTGATTTCCAAGGGGACGGGAGAGGGAGAGAGAGAGAATCATTGATGATCTGCCTCTTGCAGGCCCCACACTGGGGATCAAGCCCACAACCCGGGCATGTGCCCTGACCAGGAATTGAACCCTAACCTCGTGGTTCATAGGTCGATGCTCAAGCCCTGAGCCACGCCTGCCGGGCGGGAGAGGGAAGGTCATGGTCCCAGGTCGTGGGTTTGGTGCCCCTTCAGGAGCCCTCCTCCAGGAACAGGTGCTGTGCTGGTCCCTCAGGCTGGGGGTGACGGGCCCTCACCGCGTGTGCCTGCTCCCTGCATTGATGTCCGCTCTGTTGTAAAGAAAGCGGGGCCTCCGGTTGCTGTGGCCCCGTCGCCTCTCCAGGCAGACGCTTACCTGCTCCCTGGAGCCTCGCTGGACTCCCATCCATGGGCCCACGAGGGTCGGTGCTCCTGGCCTCGGTGGACGTTACCTGTGAATCGGTGGCCAGGAATGACCAACACGGCCTGCCTGCTCTGCTCACGCGGGTCCATGGCCCATCAGACTCCCCATAAGAAACGTGCAATTAAGGATTTCAGACGGGTCAGGGGAGGGTTAGACCCGCGGACCCAGGTACAAGGCCAGCACCAGGAGCTGCTGCGAGGTGGGCGTCGCACACACTGTGAGGTGAGGTGCACCCAGCAGCTCTCAGCAGGGTGGCGAGGGCCTGTGTCCTGGTCACTCTCGGTGCCGCCTGCCCAGCCTCAGTGGGAGGGGGTGGCCTTGGGGGGAGGCCCATGCCTGACCCCACGCCTCCTGCTCAGGCAGCCGAGTCCACGCAGAACAGTGGGGCTGCTCGAGCTCTGAACTGGCTCCCGGGCCCCACGCCCTCTGCCTCCCTTGTCACCTCAAGGCCTGGCAGACGCTGTTCACCGAGAGACGCGCGTTCTAGCCACCCTGAGCCAGAGGCGCTGGTGCTGACCCCACTCTGAATGGCACTCCAAAGGCCAGGTCACCCTCCCACTTCATAGATTGGAAAGAGGCAGAGACCTTGGGGGTCTTGCCTTAGGTCACACAGTAGTGAAGGCAGAGCTGAGACTCAAACCCTTGTGGACAGACCTGGCGCCCACATGCTGTGCCCCAGGCGAGATGCCGATGCTACAGAGGCAGCAAGAAGGGTGAGGGCGACCAGTGCCCAGACTGAGGCAGCACAGGTGCGTGCAGGGGCATACACACGCACGCACAAATACACACACACACACAACACACACGCACACGCACATGCGCACACACGCACACGGGCACACACGCACCTGCACACGCCCTCCCTGGCTTTCACCTCTGAGGCTACAGAGGTCGGAGGAATCAGGGGAGGAGCCAGGAGAAGCCAAGGGGCTGGTGGGGGCTATTCCCGTTCCTGGTGAGTCTGTCTCAATCCCTCTCCCTGGCAGGAACCTCACTGGACTGACGCCAGATTCCGCCTTCCCGGGTTCAGGTCTGTGGCTGAGGGTTCTCTGAGGCCCTCCTGGAACTCTGCTTTCAGTGATAAGAGGAATGAGGCATGTCGGCTTCAGGTTTGTCTGGACACAAACTTTATTAAAACGAGGCAAAAAAAACACCCATGGGGGACATTGGTGTTGACATCCTGGCAGCACTTAAGGAACTGCTTGTCTATTGCCTCTCCTCTTGAAAGTGGAGGATGTTTGACCAGTTACTTCTGTACTAATTACACTCTTGGGGAGGGAAAGGGGCCAGCAGTCTTCCTCTGAAGCCCCCTCAGAGCTGCGGTATGAGGTATGTGGTGCCTACACTTGACCTACAGCTGCTGAGGTGCGATTTAGGGCTAATGACTTACTCACCCTCCCTGCAAAAATAGACTTCTCCGCTGAGTGTGTCCTCTGGTGTGTGATGAGATCTGACTTCGTTGTAAAGCCTCGCCCACACTCCCTGCACACATAGGGCTTCTCCCCTGAGTGTGTCTTCTGGTGTACGATTAGAGTTGACTTCTGTGTAAAGCCTCGCCCACACTCCCTGCACACATAGGGCTTCTCCCCTGAGTGTGTCCTCTGGTGTATGATTAGAGTTGACTTCTGTGTAAAGCCTCGCCCACACTCCCTGCACACATAGGGCTTCTCCCCTGAGTGTGTCCTCTGGTGTCTGATGAGATGTGACTTCTGTGTAAAGCCTCGCCCACACTCCCTGCACACATAGGGCTTCTCCCCTGAGTGTGTCCTCTGGTGTGTGATGAGATTGGACTTATCTGTAAAGCCTCGCCCACACTCCCTGCACACATAGGGCTTCTCCCCTGAGTGTGTCCTCTGGTGTGTGATGAGATGTGACTTATCTGTAAAGCCTCGCCCACACTCCCTGCACACATAGGGCTTCTCCCCTGAGTGTGTCCTCTGGTGTCTGTTAAGAGTCGACCTATCTCTAAAGCCTCGCCCACACTCCCTGCACACATAGGGCTTCTCCCCTGAGTGTGTCCTCTGGTGTCTGATGAGAGTCGACCTATCTCTAAAGCCTCGCCCACACTCCCTGCAAACATAGGGCTTCTCCCCTGAGTGTGTCCTCTGGTGTCTGTTAAGAGTCGACCTATCTCTAAAGCCTCGCCCACACTCCCTGCACACATAGGGATTCTCCCCTGAGTATGTTCTCTGGTGTGTGTTGATATGTGAGCCATCATTGAAGCCTTGCCCACACCCTCCAGGCTTGATTGTTACAATTTTTGACATTCTTACTCCCACAGATAATTTGCTTGTGTTCTTTGGATTAACATTCTGGCCTGTGCTGGGCTCTTCCTCCATTATTCTCTCTCGCTCACTGGAGCTCCCTGTTTGTCTGTTGGGAGGCTTGAAAGAGGCCCTTGAAGTTCCCCTGTGCCTGATCCTTTTAAGCAAAGGTTTGGACGTTCCTTTGACCTCTTGACCTTCAGCTTTGTCATTCCAGCCATGTGGACCAGGATGTTGCTGCTGCTGCTGATTCTGACCCTCTGGGCCGGGTTCCTCTGACTGGAGGTGTTTTCCTGCAGGTGCTCCTGGCAGAATCTTAGAGGGGTGATTGCGTTTCACATGTTGGCTGAGGAATGTCTGACTGGAGAAGGCCACAGAGCAGGAGGGACATGGGTGGATCTCTGGCTTTGGTTCTGCTGAAGGAGAAAGTTTTGGTCAGGGCAGGTGTGGGCAAGGCTGCCTGTGCCGTACGCTCTGTCTCCTGGTAAGACCTGTCCCCGGAATCATTCTTACTGTGTTGACAGTGGAAGGTCTGCCTCCCACAAAGTGTTCCTTCACAGTCTATTTTTCTTTTTCTTTGTCTGCACTTCATCTTCTTCAGAAATCCAGAGACCCCATATCAAAATTCTTTTCTACAGCCCTGGCCTGTGTGGATCAGTGGATAGAGCCCCAGTCTGTGGACTGAAAGGTCCTGGGTTCGATTCCCAGCAAGGGCATGTGCCTTGGTTGCAGGCTTCTCCCCGGGCTGGGCCCTGGTCAGGGCGTGTGCAGGAGGCAGCCAGTCGATGTGTTTCTCTCACATCGATATTTCTCTCTGTCTTTCCCTCCCTCTTCCATTCTCTCTAAAAATCAATGGCAAAATATCCTGGGGTGAGGATTGAAAAGAAAAAAGGTCTTACAGATCAAGGACCATAGAAGCCATTTCACTCCTTATATGGGTGGGACTATTGTGTCCTTTCCATATACATGTATCTTCTAAGTCATGTTAAAGAGAAAAACCACAGGCCTGGCCAGGTAGCTCAGTGGTTGAGCAGCAACCCATGAACCAGGACGTCACCAGTTCGATTCCTGGTCAGGGCACGTGCCCAGGATTTGTGCTCTATTCCAGCAGGAGGCAACTGATCCATGTTGATATTTCTATCTCTCTCTTCGTTTCCCTTCCTCTCTCTCTCAAATCACTAAAAACATTTAAAAATAGAGGAACCATAGGCCCCAACTAGCAATTGCTTCTCTCTCAGTTTTCCACAAATCATAAAACGGAAATATGTCTTTCCTCTCACAGTATTCCTACTTGATTTCTTTCAGTGTTAGCCTATTTCAAATACAATAGGAAGTCCTGTTTCAAAATATCTCCCCAACCATGCCCTAGCCAGTTTGGCTCAGTAGATAGAGCGTCGCCTTGGGGACTCCAGGGTCCTGGGTTCAATTCTAGTCAAGGGCATGTACCTTGGTTGCAAGCCCAATCCCCAGCCCTGGTTGGGGTGTGTGGGAGGCAAGCTATTGATGTCTTTCTCTCTCTGTCTCTCTACCTCCCTTCTACTCTCTCTTAAAAAAAATCATTGGAAAAATATCCTCTGGTGAGGATTAATAACAACAACAAAAATATTTCCCCAACCTGCTTCTTACACTCCCGATTCCCGTCCCTCTCCAGCCAGTCCGCCTTCCTCTCTCACTTGGAGTTGAAATAATCTCGGAGGGGATTCCCCACTGAAGTTTATTTTCCAAAAAAATTCACAAAGCATAATTTTAGAACATGCCACTCTGCAGCTGAAAACTGCCCAATTGTCCCGTCTCACTCAAGAAAGTCCCCAGTATCTCAGCTTGGGTCATAGGCACTGTATTTCCAGGCTGCTAGGCATCTGTCCAACCTCCGTTCTCACCCTCTGTACTGAGACTGAGACGGGAGTAGCCCTCAGCCAGCTCAACACCGCACCCCTTTCCTTCCCTGCACCAGCTGCTCCCTCTGCCCAGGACCCTGTGCCACAGCTGTTGTAAATGTTGTCTCCGGAGAAAGCCCTTCCCTGATCTTTGGAATCCGACACATACACCCTACCCTCACACTGATCCCTAGGCACTAGTCCTGGGCCCGTTTTCTCCGAAGCGCTAATCACTGTGTAATATTAAGCACATGCACATATATCTGCCTGGGTTTCCCTCCTTCACCAGCCAGCTGCTCAGGAGCAGTGATTCTGACATCGTGTTAATCTGTATTTTCCAGCTCCCAGAGCCCTGTGTGGCACCGAGTAGGAATTCACATGACAAGTCACTGAAATAATGAATGAATGCATGTTAACACACACATTTCATTTAGAAATATGCAGTAAGTGAAGAAGAAACAGCTAAAAGTGTTTAAAAAAAAAACCCCCACAAACAACCACCTAGGTGAGAGAGCTGGTTAAGTGCCTAAAAACTTTTTTTTTTTTTTTGCCTCTAACCCTTTCAGCACTATATGAGGCTGTGCATTTTGTGCATGAAGTATTTTTTAAAAATGGAACACAAATTGGCCCTGGCCAGTGTGGCTCAGTTGGTTGAGCATTGTCCCGTTCATCCAGGGGTAGCCAGTTTGATTCCTGGTCAGGGCACATGTCTGGGTGGTGGACTTGATCCCCAGTAGGGGGCATGCAGGAGGCAGCAGATTGATATTTCTCTCCCTCTGCCTTCATCTCTGTCTCTAAAACCAATAAAAGCATATTTTTAAAAATTAGAACAAAAATAAAAATATTAAAATTGTTCCTAAGAATCAAAGACCTATGTGATGAGTCATCCATTTCTGAAGCATCTGATTTGAAGCTTTGCTGACTCTAGAGTGGATTTTACTCCACTTGAGAGTTGGACCCTGAAAACTTCTAAGAATTCTTTCTTTCCATGTTGCAGAAGAGTGGTGCCCACCTCTCCCGGCCACAAGCTCTGTCTTCCACTTGCTGCCCCACTTGATGCCCAGCTCTTGGCCATACTCTTCTCCATACCAGACCAGCAGCTCACAGCCCCTCCTCACGACCCGGCAGGTTCGGTAGAAAATCTGCCTGTGATATTGAAAGGCCACCAGGTTCTGCTCTTCGTCATCCCGGGCGCAGTTCACGTACCTGGGGTTGAGGCAGATGAAAGGAAAGAAAATCACAGGTGATGAATTTCTGCTACCTGTCATATTTGTGTCCAGCTCCTCACTGACGCTTAAGGCCCTCAGCTCTGATGGCACCCACACCCATGCTCCTGGGGAAACTTCTGTTCAATGTTCGAGCCTCTGTCACAATGTCATGTGAATTCCTGTCTCTAAGTCCTGCTCACAGTGCTCATCCTGCCTAATGTCATTCCCAAAGCCTCATTCCAGACTTCCCCATCAAACCCGGTGTCCTCTAGCTTCTCTAAGCTCTAAATCAGGTTCTGTGTCACACCGCAGAACTCGGGGCTTGATCTAGGACTCTGCTTCTGGATCAGCTCACATCATTCAACACTCAGTCCAAGTCTACCTTCTCTGCAGAGGCCTTTCCTGAGTCTCCCCACACTTTATTGAAGGCATCATTCAGTTGCCTCCCCCAGGTTCCCACAGAAACGTGGAGGTCTCTCTGTGTTAGAAAAATAACAGAGAACAATAGTAGTTTATTCATAATCTGTGTCCCCTGATACAAGAGAGCCCCGCAGGAAAGGGCCGTGAGCACTATTACTCTGCCGGCTCCAACACCCAGTTGTAGTTAGAACTGAGGCTGGGATGATGTGCTGCCCTCACAGGTTTAGACTATCCTTGGATTAAGGCTATCTGGGCACTGGGCACTTCTTGAAAAATAGGAAAATTATAGTTAAATATTAATGAAATAAAATGTTGTTTCATGTCCATCTGCAGTAAGTCCTCCCTAGGGTCATGGATTGTGTGATCTGTGTAAGTAATGAATTCCTTCCTCTAAACTGGAACATAGTAGGTGTTTAACTAATGTCCATTAGATAAATCACAGAGTAATCCAGGGTCATCAAGGTTTTCCCAGTCAGTGCCCAAACTGGAGACTTGTATTTTGAGGACATATGCTATACTTTTACCTCCTCTTTTCCTAAATGTCTCTTGATGTTGAAGATCACTGTATGGAGAAAAAAGGGGAACAGAGGACTGAGGGAGACCATTAGGGAGGCATGATGGGAAGGACAGACGTGTGGGTTGTGAGGCATGAGTGTCCTCTCTGGCACCCAGAAGCCTAGTGACCTTACCTCATCCAGTTGGCCTGAGATGTATCCTTTCCGTCCACATACTCATAGCAGTTTCTCCCTTTGGTGATCTGCATTTCAGAAAAGAAGTTAAAGGCTGTGTGTGTGTGTGTGTGTGTGTGTGTGTGTGTGTGTGTGTGTGGTTGTGTGTACATAATAGAATAATTACTCTATTGTCATCAAATCTCTTTCAGCCTGCATGGTGATTCAACTGCCAATGGTGATCACAGGATATTTTTCTTACTCTCATCTACACGTCGGAGTCGATTTGTCCACTAAGCAGGAGCCCCACAAGGGAGGAGTCTGTACCACTTTGCTCCCATTTACCCTCTGATCCTCAGAGAGGAGCTCCATGTTCATGCAAAGTCCGCCCAGTACACAGAGCTGACTAACCATATGGTCCCCAGCCATGTCCCAGCATGTAGAAGGTGGGGCCCCCCAAGCCACAGGAGGGACGGGAAGCCAGAGGACAGGGAAGAGGTAAAGTTCTCACCAGCCAGGAGTAGCCACTGTTGGCTGTGGCTTCATCTTCTGTGATCTGACCCTCATAAGGGCCAAAGTGCAGGCCCACGGGCAGATCACATTCCTCATTCCACACTCCAAGCCCAGCCTCAGGGATGCCTGATGGTCCGATTCTCAACCCAGGGGGCAGAGTGAGGGCTGAGCGGTTGGCATGCCCCTTGTCCACGGCACTGTCTTTTACAAATGTAGGAGGCCCATGCACAGCACAGCTGTCAATGAAGAAGTTCTGACACTTCTCACAATCTGGAGGCAAGAGCAACAGGGATTAGTCAGGGTGCAGTGCATGTTCCTGGACATGAAGAGCTTCGGAAAGAGGTCACATCAGTGAGCCTCAATCCTGTACTCCCGGTCACGAGAGGAAGGGAATGATTTGGGCACCCAAAGACCAGGTGAAATTATTGCATCAAGGACATAACATGCTCCTTGGTGAGGGTGAGCTTACAGAGGTAGTCATCGTCCTGGGGCTCGCTGATCTCTTGGTAGACACGACACTTCCTCTCTCGTAAGCTATACATCTTCACTTCGATCTGCTTTCTCCTGAGGTCTACATGGGAGAAGAGCAGGTGAACTGAGGGGATGAGGTCTGGAACATGAGTCCCTATCTTATCAGAAAACACACAATGTCCTCCCATCAAATGATCACCTGTTCTATTATAGTATCTGGTATTTTCCTCCATTAACTAAAAGACTAGCACTCCACACTGACTACCGGTGGCTGATTCAATTTTAGTTTCTAGATGATCCCATTATCAGGTTCAACCTTCCAAGCTTTGGTCATTCATAAAGTATGTATTGAGGGCACATTATGTGTTAGGCACTGAGTAAAGACCTGGGCACACAACACCAAGATAATATGGTTGCTATTATCGCAGATGGATTTATTGGACAACTTGTATGTGTCAATTGTTTGAAATATAATTTAATGCTTTCAAACTATATGTGCCCCATGTTTCCTTATGTTCACTTTACACATTAGCATTCAGGAGTTCAGAGAGTTTGTAAGATTAGCTCAAAGCTTCAGTGCTAACTCCAGTTTCAAATCCAGGCCTATGGAAAGTCCACCCCACATACCTAGGCTATACTGATCAGCCTTTCTAGAAGAATTAGTGGAACTGAAATCTCCAAATTATTTAACTTACCCAATTTCGATCTAGGGTGCTGTCCGGAAGTACTTGCTTCTCCAGGAGGGGGCACTGGTTTCTGGGTCTGCTCTGAGCCACTTGTGGTCAACAAATTTGCTGTTCCTGACAATTCCTTCAAACTAGACTCAGTACTTAATGGCGCCCTGGACTTTGCCTTCAGTGTGAAAGTCACATATTAAAAGGTAATATGCATTTATTTAATTTTGTAGGGTTTATGATATATTTTGACATAGATGACTTTAATGAACACTTCAACAACTCTTCGAAATACCTGGGAAGTATGAATATTAGAGGAAAAAGAAATGGCCAATGTGGGTTTTGAATCGAAGACTAGAACCCATGCCTTAAGGCTCTTTCTTTTATAGAACAGTGAGAGTGAAGGATACTGGGAGGAGAATAAGTCATAATTGGGCCCTAACCAGTGTAGCTCAGTTGATAGAGTGTCGGTCTGCGGACTGAAGGGTCCTGAGTTCAATTCTCATCAAGCGCGAGTTCCTTGGTTGCAGGCTCCTCTTCCCTGGCCTGGGCCTTGGTCTGGGCTTATGCAGGAGGCCACCAGTCATTATGTGTGTCTCTCACATCGATATTTCTCTCTTTCTCTCCCTCTTTTTTTCTATTCCCCCTAAAAATCAATGAGAAAATATCCTTGGGTGAGGATTAAGAAAAAAAGGAAGAAAGAAATAGTTGGCAGAGCCCTGGCTGGTGTAGCTCAGTTGGTTGAATTGAAGGGTTGCCGGTTCCATTCCCGGTCAGGGCACATGCCCCAGTTACAGGTTAGTTCCCAGGTTGGGGTCTGTGTAGGAGGTTACTGATCCATGTTTTTCTCTCTCACTGATGCTTCTCTCCCTTCCTCTCTCTCTCAAATCAGTAAAAACATATTTTATAAAAAAAGAAATGGCTGGCAGAAACCTATCATGACAATAAAGGAAATTATGCTAAAATGTGCAATTTACTATATCATGGAAAGAATATTTGTAATTAGATTAGTTGGTTCCCAGCAATTCTCTGTTTGAATAAGGTTGTGCTACTAGCTAGTTCTCTTCATTTTCCTGACCTATAACATGCTAATTCTTAATGTTATAATGAACATGAAATATAATGATGTTCACCAAAGTGTTCTGTGAGCACTTTGATACAGTATGAATGTAAGATTACAGTCCTGCTATCAATGTACCTCTCAGCCATCTCTATATTTGAAATCACATGTAATTTATCTTCATTATTCTTTGACCCTACTCTAGTTTAATTTGTAAATTTGAAAGCACTCTTTCAGCAAACATTCAGGGGGTCTTCAGGGACCCTGAGCTGGGCCTGGGACTTCTGAGAAGAGAAGAATCTGGTGTGAACCAAAGAGCTCACAATGCAGAGGTAGGCAGGCGGAGCCAATGATTCAAACAAGATGACACTGGCCTAATTAGAGCTCAGAGAAAGAAGCCATACTTCTTCTGGCTGGAATGAGCATTCAAAACCAGTTCCAGATGAGCTTCTATTGAATAGTGTGTCATCTCTATGAAGTTCCTAAGTCACTTTATTGTTAATTATTTCTGAATCGTCAAACTTGAAGCTCCCCAGAGTTGAGAGATGCTTTCTTTTATTTGACTGGGAGGCTCTGATGCTGGGGTTGCTATATCCTTCTTCATCTGGGTCCATGCACCGTGCAAACTGCCTATATGTCAGTGAGCTTCTGCAAGTCGGAAGTCTTAGTGTATCTCTCACTGCAGCATAGCAGAGAAGAACTGCGTTTGGAATCATCAGTCAGTGAAAGATGTAATCATGTATGGATGAGACAGTGGAAAGTGCATAAAACTATGGAAATTTTAATGAGCTTGTAAGTGGTTTGAGATGAAGCTATGGATTAGATTGCATGACCACGGATACTGTGATCTCAGACATACAGTCAAACACTTGTATATGTCTGAAACCTCAGTTTCCTCATCAGAAATGGTGATAGTTATAGTACCTACCTCATAGGGTTGTGTTAAGGTTTAAGTGAGTTTATTCACGTAGAATTCATAGAGTCTGAAGCATTGTGAAGATAAAACCCGTGGTAGCTACTATTGTTGCTGATGTTATTAACGACTAAGATGATATTGGTCATTTTGTTGAAGAGGTCAGGAAAGGAAGGTGGCAGTTCCCAGGGTGCACTGTGATTTTTCCTCCTCTTCCCTGCATTTGCATCCAGGAGGAAGATTTTCTTTTCAACAGGATTTGGGAAATACTCACCTTCTGATGTTTATTCTGTTCCACTCTGAAGGCCACCCAAGAAGGTTTAGCTAAAAGATGGTGAGAAATCAATAATTATATATAATTTCAGAGAGGAAGGGAGAGGGAAAGGGAGAGAGAGATAGAAACATCAATGATGATAGAGAATCATGGATTAGCTGCCTCCTGAACACCCCACACCAGGAATCGAGCCCACAACCTGGGCGTGTGCCCTGAGCGGGAATCGAACTGTGACCTCCTGATTCATAGGTCAACACTGAGTCTCTGAGCCACACCTGCCGGGTGAGAAATCAGTTTTGGTCGGTAATTGTTTCAAAATCTGGAGATTCTTATCTTTCAGAATTCTGAATTATAGAGTAATCCCAGGACAGACGAAGGATGATTGGAAAATGTTTTCTGAGGTTTCATTAGGCTTATGCTTTTATTGGGAGCATCAGCTAATTTTCTTAAAATGTTTAAAAATAGCCCTAGCCAGCTTGGCTCAGTGGATAGAGCGTCAGCCTGCGGACTGAATGGTCTTTGGTTCTATTCCGGCCAACGGTGCATGCCTGGGTTGCGGGCTCATCCCCCAGGTGTGCAGGAGGCAGCCAATCGATGGCTCTCTCTCATCATTGATGTTTCTATCTCTCTCTATTCCTCTCTGAAATCAATAAATATATTTTAAAAAAATAGACAAAACCCCATCTGTACTTCATCCTCTGTTCAATATATATATTTAAAGTAGAAGCCCGTTGCACGAAGATTCACGCAATAGGCCTTCCTTCCCCTGGCTGCTGGCACTAGTTTTCCTCTGGCACCCGGGTCCCAGGCCTTTGATCCAGCCACAGAGGAGAAGCCAAGCCTAATCAGCCTTCAGTCTTCCCTCATCGGCTGCCCTGGTTATGCAAATTAACTGCCATCTTTGTTGGGTTAATTTGCATGCGTATCCTGATTGGCTGATGGGCCTGGCAGAGTGACACCAATTTGCATGTTTCTCTTTTATTTGTGTCGAGCGGCCTAGCCCTGGCTGGGCATCTCAGTTGGTTGGAGTATCATCTTTTACACCAAAGGTTTCGGGTTTGATCCTTCTTGGGGTGTACACGGGAGGCAACTGATGGATGTTCCTCTCTCACATTGATGTTTCTGTCTCC